TCCCCGGCCCTTTTCCCCTCTTCCACGAAAAATATTGCCCCCACCCACCTCACCCCCCCTTCCGCCGCCTAACCTCCCCCCCCTCCCCCGTACACTCTCTTCTGCTTTCTCCCATCGTGACTGTCCTCCCTATCTCCCCTCGCCCTTCCTCTCCCTTTCTTCTTCTCTTCCTCTCCCTCTCAACCGTTCTTTCTCTCCCTCTCCACTGCCCTTCGTCTCCCTCTCCCCCATCCTTTCTCCCCCTCCCCCCGACCTTCCTCTCCCTCTCCCCCCGTCCATCCTCTATTTCTCCCACGCTGGTGTGCTACGAGGAGGGGGGGAGGGGAGGGATGGAAGAAGAGGGGGAAAGAAGAGAGGAAAGGAAGGGAGAAAAGGAGGGGGTAAGAGAGGGTCATGAGGGAGATTCGTTATTTTGTCTCAGTGTCGGGAGGAGAGGGTTAGGGGGTAAGGGGAGGAGAGGGTTAGGGTTTAAGTGGAGGGAGAGGGAGGGTAGGGTGGTAGGGGATTTAGGGGAGGGGAGGAAGGGAGAGGGGTAAAGGGAGAGGGGTGGAGAAAGGAAGAAGGGGGGATGGGGGATAGGAAAGGGGAGGGGGTAAGTTGGACTGGGACTTGGATTGTTTATGATGGGTGGGGAGGAGGGGGGCGGGGGGAAGGGGGGAAGGAGAAGTTAGGAGAGAGAGGGAAGGTTGGGAAAGAGAGGGGGGGTTGGGGCTTGGGAGCGAGGGAAGGAAAGAGATAGAGCAGGAATTCGAAAAGAAGGGGGAAACGGAGGAAGAAAAGAGGGGAGGGGAAGAGAGAGGAGAAGAAGAGGAGAGGGAGAGGGGAGAGGTAAGGGGAGATGGGAGAGGGAGAGGGAGAGAGGAGAGGAAAGAGGGAGAGGGAGAGGAGAGAGGTAGAGAGGTAGAGAAGGTAGAGAGTAAAGGGAGAGAGGTAGAGAGGTAAGGAGAGAGAGGAAGAGAGAGAAGAGGAGAGAGAGAGAGAGAGAGAGAGAGAGAGAAGAGAGAGAGAGAGAGAGAGAGAGAGAGAGAGAGAGAGAGAGAGAGAAAGAAAGAGAGAGAAGAGAGACAGACAGACAGACAGACAGACAGACAGACAGACAGACAGACAGACAGACAGACAGAGACAGGGAAGAGAGCGAATAAGGGAGAGAGAAAGAGGGAAGGATGCTAGACTCAGATTATGATCTACGTGTCGATAAGACTTTGACATCCGTGTGAGATAGAGGGCGTAAGTTTTCAAAGGTTGTCGTTGTGGGCGGGCGGTGACAAGGGCGCCCCTGTTGTTGGAATGCAGCGGAAAGAGTAGATCGGATAAAGTGGGGACTGCAAAGAGACAGGAGATAAACAAGATGATGAATCAATAGAAGTAAATTAAATAAACAAAAACAAAAAAACAAAAAATCTAACAAGATGGATGAATCAGTAGAAGTAAATAGAGTAAACAAAAACAAAAAATGTAATCTACAATCTGTCTTAAACATGTCATCATGCGTGAACCCCCCCCCTTCCCCAAAAAAAGAGAAAATTTAAAAATAAGAAAGAATAAGAAAAGAAGAAAATTAAATCCCCTTGAACGCTACAGGAGTAAAACTACAAAGACGGAATAATGTTAACCTTAAAACACTCTTTAGGGAAAATATTTACGGTTTTTCCGTCACTAAAGAAAACTGCCTCCCCCTCCCCCCCCCCCCCTCCGGCCGGAAAAAAAAAGGAATATTTTTATTTTTGTCTCAAACTTCTTTCCTCCGCCCTCCTTCCCTCCCCCCCCTTTTTGAGACCGAAACGTACGCTAAGACGGCGCAAGGAGAAGAGAACGTGGACTTTGCTGCTAGACCGGAAGCGAGGGTGTCTGTCTGTCTGAGAGCAAAATGTGGGACTTTGTTTTTGACGTTCCAAGGGGATGGAGCTCCGTCGGGTTGTGTTCCGGCGGAGGAGCGTGTTGCGAGCGTGCTTGCGTTAATTCCTGTTGCGTAATTGTTCTTGCCATTTTGCATCTTTGTTGTTGTTGTTGTTATTGGTGGTAGTGGTAGTAGTGGTATGGTAGTGTAGTAGTAGTAGTAAGTTAGTAGTAGTAGTTAGTAGTAGTAGTAGAAGTGTAGTAGTAGTAGTAGTAGTAGTAGTAGTAGTAGTAGAAGTAGTAGTAGTAGTAGTAAAGTAAGTATAATATAATAATAATATAATAATAATAATAATATAATTAATAATAATAATTAATAATAATACCTTCCGCTTCCTCACAACCATCGTCACACGAGACGACTTTTTTAGTTTTCCAAGGGGTTGGGACCCGTCGGGTTGTGTTCCGGCGGAGGAGGAGTCTGCTCCTGCTCGCGTAAACACTCACTCTCCTTTCTCCTCCTCTCCTCATCATCATCTCATCATTATCATTATCATATCATCATCATCAATCATCATCATCATCATCATCATCATCATATCATCATCATCATTATCATCATCATCATATATCATCATCATCATCATCATCATCACCACCATCGTCATCATCATTATTATTATTACTGATGTTGCTGTCGTTGTTATCAATTATTCTTATTATTATCATTTACTGCGAACAGCAAAGCTATGCAACAGCCGTGTATGAAATCTTTTTCCCGTGATCCGTTTGAATCCGTTAAATACACAAACAGTATAAGAGGATTTGTAAATAATAATAATAATAATAATAATAATAATAATGATAATAATTCTAATAGATATAGATATAAAAGTTCTAATAGATAAAAAGAGCTTGTGTCTGAGAGGAACTGCCAAGGGTGTATGGGAACAGGTGTAGAGTTAGAAAAAATAGGCGTGGGTGTGACCTTTTTTAGTGAGTGTGGGCGGAGAGGGGGGGCGGGGGAGTGGTCAAGCTCGCCTCGTAGAATCGTAATTAAAAGGTCATAATGATCGCGAATTAATGAGGGAGTGTCTGTCATTACTGGGTTTACGGCCGCTGTTGTTTTTTTCTTATTATTTATTTTTCCGTTTTATTTGTCTTTTTTATTAATTTTTCTCTGTATTTTTTTTTTCTTGTGTTTATTCGAATCTTCTTATTCTGTTTTATGACACCTATTGTCTCTCATTTTCTATTTCTATATTTTCTTCATATCCATCTTTTTATCTGTACTTATTCTTTCATATTCTTCGGCTTTAGTTCTATACACTTGTTACCCTCCTCACACTTTTCATATACTATCCATCTTGTTTTATCTCGCTATTTCTCTAGTTTAGTGCGCTAGTGGTAATTAGCATTATTACGCGACGTTTTGTGCGCACGACACACACACACACTAATGCATACCCACTACATGTGCTTTGTTTATTGTCCACACACACAGGGGAGTGGAGTAGAGTAGAAAGAGAGGGCTGGGGGAGAGGGTAGAGAGAGAGGGAGGAGTGGAGTGGCACGAAATACTCTCATTGGCGTTAGAGTGGTATGTATCTGTCGATATAGCAGATGCGTTTAGAATGCGTGTAGTAATCTTACCATATGTATATGTACCACAGAGAGAGTGAGAGCAGAGAGAGAGAGGAGTATATGTAACGAGATGATGTGCAGAGTAGAAGATTAGTTATTTCGAGGCGAAGAGATGTGTAAGAACGAGAGGAGAGAGAGAGATACGCAGAACGCATAGCACGATCGAGAGGAGAGCATCGGAGCGGACCGCGGGGAAGTAGCTGTAGACTGAGCAGGAGGTAATGATGGCACGAGAAAGAGTGGAGAGAGAGAGAAGCAGATAGAGAAGATACAGGAGACGCAGTATGATGATCGGAGACGGATGAAGAGAGACTGTAGATGAGAGAATGGAGTAGAGGTCATGCGTGAGAAGTAGAGAGAGATAAGAGGAGAGCCGCATAGTGTACGAGATGATTTTTTAGATGTATGTTAAGGATATTTTTTGTATGAATTAGTTTTTAGTATTTATTTTTATAGTAGATGGATTTACTGTAGAGTATCTGAGGGATGAGAAGAAGGATGTGAGGATTAGGTAGGTAGGATGGATGTTTATGTATGTATGATGCTTAGTATGAGGAGGATTATTTCCTTTATTTTCTTCGATGAGTCAAGAGGTTTAGTATGAATGTATGTAGTATCCTTATGAGATATCTTCTGTAGATTGCACTTCTGTGATACATTTCTATCATTTGATTCTTTTTGCATATTTTCGCGTTTATTTAGTTCTACGTCTCTTTGCAATTGTAGTACTCTGGCTATCTCTCTATACTGGTATATTCGTTCTCATATACTCTCTCTAAAGATATTTTTTTAAATTATTAGTCTTTATCTTTGATTAATATATAATTTATTAGTTTATTATCTGATATTTTAGTTAGGGTAATCGTTATATATTTATGTGTGTGGTGGGGAAGTTGTGGTGTTGGTGAATGATGTGTGGGTGTCGTAGTGTGTGTATGTTTGTTGTTTGTGTAGGGTGGAGTGTGAATTGATGAGTGTGGTGTGTGTTTTGCTGTGGTGTGGTTTGTGCTTGTTATGTTATGGTGTGGTGTGGGGAGTATAATAAAAATTAAAGAAATAATTATATAGTGTAAATATATAGGAGGAAGTGTGATAAATAGTATAAAGATTCTAAATATAATAAGTAAAGAATGCAAAATGTATATTCTATGTGTAATTATATTTATATTATTACCATATTAATGTTATTCTCATCTCTCTTTCCCCTCCCTCCCATCTATGGTTTTATTCCGACCCCTTTCTCTCGCTCTCAACCACCTCCCTGCTACTTACTCTCTCAGCCCTTCACACCTTTCTAGTTCCTCATACTCTCTCTTCTTGTTGTTCCTCTTCTTCATCTCCCTCCTCTCCTTTCCTCTCCTCCCCTCTCTTATCGCTCATACATTACCGTGTGACGCCTTATCACTCCATTTCTCTCCACTAGTCCCTTGGGTCCCTCTCCGCTCTCTCCACCTCCCGGCAGTTATATCTCGTTTAGTGACGCAACACCAACATTCCCGATGTCTCTCCTGCATTTGCAGGGAGCTGCACGCAGTGCGGGGTTATTTGCCAACAGGAACGCGTGCACAAAATTTGACAGTGCGAACGGCCGTCGTAGTGGTAAGTGCGAGTGGTCACCGAGCCGGGCGTACATAACAACGACTTACCTAAGCCAACCGTAGAAATGAGATTCATACCGTCAAAGAGCTGTTGAAGCACCACGTGAGGCGCGGAACAATGTGTGTGTGGAAGGTATACGTTTTGGCGAGGGTGTTGAGTTTAGTGAATATCTGGTTTATTGTGTACTTTTTGTAAGAAAAGTTATTGATCTTTTAGAGAGTTGTTTTGCTTTTTTATTATATTTGTTGGTGCCCTTGTTTGTATTCGGTTTGGGTACGATAATTAATGATAAGAGATATTGATAGAAAGACAAGATATGATGTATATTGATGGCAGAAGAATGACTATATGAAATTATAACAGTTATGATAATGAGTGTCAATAATAAATAACAATATATAATGATGATGATGATTATTGATTATCATAATTATAGTTAATTATTTATTATTGTGCTGCCTTCTTTGTTTGAATCTTTTTTGGTTTTATTCCTTTGGGTTTTTTTTTTTTTCTTTTTTTTTAGAGAGAGAATCCGTTCCCCGTTTTTGTGTTCATTTGTGTGTCAAACGCTGTGACGTCATTTTGTGGAATCCGAGTTCAAACAAGTGTATCTGTTCTCTTTGTTTTGATCAGGTGTGGATTTCTTGCCAAATATTGTACGTTTGGTTTTAAAACATTTTTGTGAGTCCCATCTGAGCATTTTTGCTAACAAACGTTGCGGGATTTTTACAATACATAATTTCTCTCTCTCTCTCTCTCTCTCTTTCATTTTCTTTCTTTCTCTTTATTCCTCTCGGTTCTTTCTCTCTTTATCTCTTTCTCCTCTTCTCTCTCTCTTTCTCTCTTTTTCTTCTTTCTTTGGTTCTCTGTTCTTGGGTTGCGCTTTCTTTTCCTCTTCTGTGTGTCGGGTTCTGAAGTACTTGAATTCTTTGGGTGGGTGCCTGTCCCTTTCTGGTCTGGCTCTCTTTCTTGTTTGATCTCCGGGCATCGCTCCCGCCGCCTCGCCGCCCCTCTCGCTCTCTCTCTCTTTCGTGCCTCACTCTCCCTCCTTCTCGCTTCTCTCCTCTCATCGTCTCTCCGTCGGCTCTCATCTCTCATCGTCGTCCCTCTCTCTCTCTGCTTCGCACCCCTACCTCTCCTTCGCCTCCATCCCTCCCTCCCTCCCTCCTCCCTCCCTCCCGTCCCTCCTCCTCCTTCCCTCCTTCCCTCCTTCCCTACCTTTCCCTACTCCCGCTCCCTCCGCCCCTCGCCCCTCGCCCCTCGCCCCTCTCCCTACTCCCTCCTTCCCCCCTTCCGTCCCTCCGCGAGTTTGTTTGATACCGTCTCTCTCTTCCTTCGCTATGTTGACATGCCGGTGATCATCCAGTGGCTCTGATAAATAGATGTTGTTGTTGCTTTATCTCTTCACCATCTCTAATACCTTAGCGAGGTTGCGTGTCTTCTGCAGCGTCTCGTACCCTATTCCCCCCCTCCCCTCCTACCCTGCTCATACCCATACCCGAAAGTGCCCCAACACGTACCCAGCGACGTCTCACCATCGAATATTTGGGCCAAAACTTGCTTCGAATTTCCTGTGACCCTATCGGTGTCCTTATCGGTGTCCTTATCGTGACGATTTTTGGACGCGTGATAGGACCCTGTTTCCCGGTAAGAGTCCTTGTCGTTCCTCTAAAGTCCGATTTAACTTGTACGTTCTCTTTCGGCCTTCGAGTCCTGTCGAGTCCTAAAATCCCATCAAGTTTCAGCAGGTGACTCAGTCCTTCTTAAGTTCCAGCGAGTCCCTTATGTCCCGGGAAGTTCTGATGGTTCGGAAGTCCCCCAAAAAGTCCTAGAAAGTTTTCATATAATCCCAAAATCCTCAGTTTGAATTCAGTTCACACGTAGTCCTAAATTCCAATACGTCCTAGTAAGTCTTCAAGTCGGAAAATAATCAACCACGGCCCAGTGAGTCCAATGACGTCACCAAGTCCCAACAAATCAGTACCATTTAGTCTTACAAGTCCCACACGGTCTAACATGTCCACAGTCCAGTCGGAAGAAGTCGCAGTAGAAGTCCCCCAGGCAGAATCCCCAGCACGTCCTAACACGTCAAGTGTAGCCCAAGAGGTCCAACAATCCCATTAAGGCAAGCGAGTCCCAAGAAATCCCATCAAGTCCAACAAAGTCCCATCAAGTCAAGCGAGTCCCAAGAAAAATCCCATCAAAGATCCCCAACACATCCCAACAAGTCTAATCGAGTCCCAAGAATTATCCCATCAAGTCCCAACACGTCCCCCCCAACAAGTTTCAATCGAGTCCCAGAAATCCCATCAAGTTCCCCAACACGTCCCAACAAAAGTCAAGCGAGGAGTCCCAAGAAAATCCCATTCAATTGTCCCCAAACCACGTCCCAACCAAGTTCAATCGAGTCCCGAAGTTGAAATGCTCACGCGAGTGCAATATATCGATCCCCAACACGTCCCAACAAGTCAATCGAGTCCAAGAAATCCCTATCAAGTCCCAAACACGTCCCAAACAAGTCAAGTCGAGTCCCAAAGGAAATCCCATCAAGTCCCCAACACGTCCCAACAAGTCAATCCAGTCCCAAAGAAATCCCATCAAGTCCCAACACGTCCCAAAAGTTCAATCGAGCACCAAGATACAATCACATCAAAAAGTCCCAAGAACGTCCCAACCAAGTCAATAAGTCCCCAACAAGAAGCGACCCATCAATCCCCAACACGTCCCAACAAGTCAAGCGAGTCCCAAGAAATCCCATCAAGTCCCCAACACGTCCCAACAAGTCAATCGAGTCCCAAGAAATCCCATCAAGTCCCCCAACACGTCCAACAAGTCAATCGGCCAGAAGCCCACAATCCCAAACACCAACTACAACCAATCGAGTCCCAAGAAATGATCCCATCAAGTCCCCAACACGTCCCAACAATCAAGCGAGTCCAAGAATCCCTCAGAGTCCCAAACGTCCCAACAAAGTCAATCGGGAGTCCCAAGAAATCCCATCCAAGTCCCCAACACGTCCCAACAAGTCAATCGAAGTCCCAAGACAAATCCCATCAAGTTCCCCAACAACGTCCCCAACAAGTCAAAGTGAGATCCCAAGAGGAAATCCCATCAAGTCCCCAACACGTCCCAACAAGTCAATCGAGTCCCAAGAAATCCCATCAAGTCTCCAACACGTCCCACAAGTCAAGGCGAGTCCCCAAGAAGAAATCCCATCAAGTCCCCAACACGTCCCAACAAGTCAATCGAGTCCCAAGAAATCCCATCAAGTCCCCAACACGTCCCAACAAGTCAATCCGTAAGTCCCAAGAAATCCACAATCAAAGTCCCCCAACACCGTCCAAACAAGTCAATCGAGTCCCAAGAAATCCCCATCAAGTCCCCAAACACGTCCCAACAGTTCAAGCGAGTCCCAAGCAAATACCCATCCAAGTCCCCAACACGTCCCAACAAGTCCGAATCGAGTCCCAAGACAATAGCCCATCAAGTCCCAACAGCGTCCGCTACATACATATAGATGCGCTCTCACATGACATCGCATCCCAGACAATCGCCCACGTATACAAATTCCCATCAAGTCCCAACACGTGCTCACCAACAACCGACGAGTCTCCTAATCTGCCTACCCTAGCTTACAGCAATCCTAGACAACGATCAAATCCTCCCATCTCAACTCTGTCACCAACCACGTCCCAACAAAGTCGAATCGGTCCCACAGACAAATCCCAATCAAAGTCCCCAACCAACGTCCCCAAGACAAGTCAAACTCGACGTCCTAAGGCTGAATTACGTCCTCCCCATTCAAAAGCTCGCCCAACACGTATAATTCCGGCTCTACTTCTCCACAGAACAAGTTCAAGCGCGAGTCCCACAAGACACAACTTCACCTCCCATTTCGAAGTCCCCAACACGTCCCAAACAAGTCAATCGCGAGGTTCCGCCAAGGAATATCCATCCAAGTTCCCCCAAACACGTCCCAACAAGTGCAAATCGACAGTCCCAAGAACATCCTCCATCAAGTCCCCAACACGTCCCAACAAGTTCAATCGAGTCCCAAGAGGAAAATTTCCCATCGGAAGCCTCACCCCAACACGTGCCCAACAAAAAAAGTCAAAGCGAGTCCCATAGGTAAGCATCCCCCTCCCACGACATGTCCCCTCACACCACCGGTCCCATGTACAAATTTCGAGAGGTCGCTTGACCTGTATAACCGAGTCCCTACCAGAATATGACCTTCACACACAGTCCGTTGGACACTCCCAACACACTCCCCCAACAACAACGAGTTCCCAAGACAATCCCCATCAAGTCCACCCACAAAAACCCACCCATCCCAACAATCTCATTAAGTCCAAGCGGCGTCTCTCCCAAAAAGCCTCCCATCAAGTCCCCAACACGTCCAACAAGTCCCAAACAAGTCCCAACACGTCCCTACACAGTCCCATCAAGTCATGCGAGTCCCAACACAGTCCCATTCAAGTTCCCCAACACGTCCAAACACGTCAAAGCGAAGTTCCCAAAAAAAAAGTCCCTCAGCTCCACCGTGCCCCTCACAGGTCGCCAGGAATAGATGCCGAGTCGGGCGGCGCCCGGGACGGAGGCGATAATGAGATCGTGAAAGGACGGCACTGGGCGGGGGCGATATGGGAGGAGGTAGAGGGGAGGGGAACGGCGAGGGAGGAGGGGAGGGGATGGGGGAAGGAGAGAAGAAGAGAGGGGAGGAGGGGAAGGGAGAGTAAGAAGAGGGGAGGAGGGGGGAAGAAAGAGAAGGGAGAGGGGAGGGAGGGGGGAAGGGAGAGTAAGAGAGCAGGGAGGGAGGGGGGGAAAGAGAGGGGAGGAGAGAGGAGGGGAGAGAGAGGGAGGAGAGAGAGGGGAGGGGAAGAGAAGGGAGGAGAGAGAGGGCAGGGAGAGAGAGGGGAGGGAGAGAGACGGGAGGGGAGAGAAGGGGAGGGAGAAGAGGAGGGAAGAAGAGAGGGAGAAGAGAGGAGAGGAGAGGTGAGAAGAGACGAGGGGAGAGGAGAGAGGAGAGGATGAGGAGAGAGGGAAGCGAGAGGGAAGAGGAGAAGAGAGCGGAGACGGAGAGGAGAGGGAGAGGAGAGAGGAGGGGAGGAGAGAAGGAGGGAAGAGAGGACAGAGGAGAGGAGAAGAGAGAGGAGAGAGAGAGAGGAGCAGCAGGAGAGGAGAGGAAGAGGAGAGGAGAGAGAGGAAGAAGGAGAGACAGATGAGACGAGGAAGAGGAGAGGAGAGAAGGAGAGCAGAGCAGAGAGAGAGAGAGAGAGCGAGAGAGAGAAGAGAGAGCGAAGGAGAGAGAAGAGAGAGAGAGAGAGAGGAGACGAGAGAGAGGAGAGAGGAGAGGAGAGAGGAGAAGCGAGAGAGAGAGGAGAGAGCGAGCGACGAAAAGGAGAGGAAAGAAAGAAAGAGAGCGACGGAAGCGAGAGCAGAGCGAAAGGAGGAGAAAGAGGAAAGATCGAGGAGAGAGATAGAGAGAAAGTGGAGAAGAGAGAGGAGGGAGATGAAGGGCATAGGGAGCAAGAGGCGGCTAAATTCGATACCCGTTCACGTCATTCGGACTTTGTATATACATGTTCGTCCGGAAAAGCGTGAGCGGCCGCAGCTCCATTCGAAGTGGTGTTAGTTAGGGGGGCGGGGAGGAGGGTTAGAGAGGGAGAGGGAGGGGAGGGGGGGCCGTGAAGGGAGGTTACGGGTGAGGGAGAGAGGGTTAAAGGAGAGAGAGAAGGGTAATGATGGGAGAGGGAGGGTACGTGAGAGGAGAAGGTGAGAGGTAGAGGAGAAGTGATTAGACAGGAGAGGAAAGAGGAAGGGCTAAGTGAAAGCATTGCGAGAGATTAGAGGGAGGGGTTGAGAGCCTAAGTGCATTGGCGGTAAGGGAAGAGAGCGGACGCGAAGGAAAAGAGAGGGCTAATGTGGGACGATGGGATAGGGAAGGGAAGCGGAAGGGGAGAGGAAAGGGAGAGGGCTAAGTGGGCATGGGGATAGGGGAGGGAGAGGGGAAGGAGCAACAAAGGGAAGGGGAAGTGGGCAGATGGGGATAGGGGAGGGAGATGGGAAGGGAGAGGGGATAGTGGTATGAATATGGGAGGGAAAGAGAGCGAGAGGCACGAGACGGAGCGGCGAGGAAAACTGGATTACGGGATAAGGGAGAGAGGAGGAAGAGAACAGGGATGAGGAGGGGAGAAAAGGGGGTGAAAAGGAGAAGCATAGAGTCACAGGGAGGAAGGCGTGGAGCATTGGGATGGTGGAAGAGGGGACGGAGAGAGAGGTGATGGATCGAGGTGTGGGGCAGGTTTCAAACCGGGCCACGGTGGTGCTTCGGAAAGGGGGGCGGCGTAATGGACAATAATTTGACGTTGACTTAAGCTCTGGATATCTCACCTACTTATTTACATTGTATAATCTCCAGCACATACAAAAATTTTTCTTGTCCTAAGCTTACCTGAGACGAGAGAGAGAAAGGACGAGGAGGTGAATCAGAGGAAGGAGAGAGAGAGAAAGAGGAGAGAGAGAGAGAGAGACGGAGAGAGAAGAGAGAGAGAGAGAGAGAGTTTAAAATTTAAAGATTTAAAGATTTATTTTAATTCCATTTTATTCAATGGATATTCTCTGCTGTGACATACTGTTTTTATTTGCCAAGATCTCCCCCGTCTGCAAGGAGTGGCCGGGTTACCGCTCATGGCCGGCGGGTATTGAAACGCAGTCCGCAAGATCTGCTAGACCAGCCCTTACCGAGAGACGGAGAGAGGAGAGAGAGAGAGAGAGAGAGGAAGAGAGAGAGAAGAGAAGAGAAAGAGAACGAGAAGAGGAGAGAGAGAGAGAAGAGAGAGAGAGAGCAGAGGAGGAGAAGAGAGAGAAGGAGAGAGAAGAGAGAGAGAGAGAGAGAGGAAGAGAGAGAGAGAATGAGGAGAGGAGAGAGAGAAAGAGAATGGGGACAACGAGACCAAGAGAGAGAGCCACGACGAAAGAGACAGAAAGGGTATGAGACAACAGCAGACGTGAGTAGGCAGGGTCGGGAGTGATACGAAAAGGAGGGAGGGTAAGGAGGGGAAGGAAGGGGAGGGGGAGAGGGGGAGAGGGAGCGGGGGAATAGATTAAGCTCAGTCTCATAACCATTTAGAGGCGATGTGGCCGCATCTCCCTTGATTAGTGGTGAAAATCCGACTCTTAGTACATTGAGATGCAGAGAGAGGAGGTGAGCTGTTGAGAGAAGAGATAGAAGGAGGGATGAGGGAGAGGCGAAGAACAGGGGGGAGGAAAGAAGAGGGAGAGGAAGAGAGAGAGGGAAGGAAGCAGATCAGGGAGGGGGAGGAAAGAGCAGAGAGGGAGGAAAGAAAAGAGTGAGCATTGAGGGAGGAGTAGAAGGAGGGAGAGGACGGAGGAGGAGAGGAGACAAAAAGAGATGAGAGTGAGCGAGGAGGCGAGAGGGAACGGAGGAAGGGAGAGGAGAAGGGAGAGGGGAAACGAGAGAAGGGGGAAAGAGAGAGAGGGATTGAATTGGGGAGATGAGGAGAAGCAGGAGTGAGAGAATGAATAAGGGTGAGATTGGAGAGAGTGGAAGGATGAAGGAGATTAATAGATGAATAAGGAGAGAGAGAGAGTGAAGAGAGAGAGAGAGGAGAGAGAGAGAGAGAGAGAGAGAGAGAGAGAGAGAGAGCGAGAGAGAGAGAGAGAGAGAGAGAGAGAGAGAGAAGAGAGAAGAGACAGGGAGGGAGAGAGAGAGAGAAGAGAGAAGAGAGAGGAGAGAGAGAGAGAGAGAAAGAGAGAGAGAGAGAGAGAGAGAGAGAAGAGAGAAGAAGAAGAGAGAGAGAGAGAGAGAGAGAGAGAGAGAGAGAGAGGGGAAGGGAATCAGACTCGGACTATACTCATAGACATATAACACCCACACTCAACTTCACGCTCACTCTCAATTCAGTCAGTCATTCGGTCAGCCATCAGCCAGTCAGTCAGCAGTCAGATCAGTCATTCAGTCAGCAGCTCACTCATCTATCACTCATTCACTCACGCACCTCATTCACTCACTCACTCACTCAATACTCACTCACTCACTCACTCCACTCACTCACTCATCTCACTCACTCACTCACTCACACATCACTCACTCACTTCACTCATCATTCACTCACTCACTCACTCGCCCGAACAAACAAACACACGGCAGGCACAGTCCAAACGCACAAGCAAAGAAACGCGCGCCCAGTCAGACGTACACTCAAGCACTTGTTGAGTAAGCATTCACGCCCGCACGCAGTCCACGCAAGCACTGCCACTCGGCACAAGCCGGCCGCGCGCCTTCGAGATAGAGACATCACAGCCGCCACACTAGCGCCGTCAGGACATCACCCCCCCCCCCCCCCGTCCCCATTTCCTCTTCTTCTTGCGTTCTCTCTTCTCCCTGCTTTTTTTCTCTCTCTTTTTCCTCACTTCCTTCAGTCTCTCACTTCCTTTTCGCTTCTCTCACTTCTCCTTTCCTTTCTTTTCTTCTCCGTTTCTCCTCCCTTCTCTTTTTTATCTCTCCCTCTTCTTATTTCTCTTCATTCTCTTCTCTTACTTTTCCTTTTCATTAATTTTCCCTTCTTCCCTTTTTTCTTTCGTCTCTCTCCCTTCTCTCCTGCTTCTTTCTCTTTCTCTCACTTTCTTCATTCTCTCCCTTTTCCTCTCTCACTTCTTCCTTTCCATCCTTTCCCCTCTTCCCTTCTTCCTTTTTCTCTCTCCCTTCTCCCTCCTTCTTCTCCCTCTACTGTCTCTATCTTCCTCTCCCCTTCTCCCCTTTTCCCTTCTCTTATCCTCTGCTACTCTGCCCACTCTTTCTTCTCTTCTTCCACCTTCTACCCTCTTGCCATCTCCCTCTCTCTTCTCTCTTCTCTAATCTCTTCCTTCTCCTCGCCCTCCTTCACGTCCTCCTCTTTCCTTTTGCCTTCTCCTTTTTTTTCCTTTTCTTCGTCTTCTCCTCCTGTCCTCCAAGACTGTACTTGAACCTCATCGACGTCCAACCGATAGAGGTCGTCCTTATCACCACCCAGCTTAAGGTCGGAAATCGTGCGTCGCCGTGACTCTTTTTCCATCGTTCTCGTGATTGAATGTTGGCGAGAAGATTCGACCTTACGGACTGGGCACGCTGGGCACAAGGCCCAGTTTGCATACTATATCCTTATGTGTCATCTTTTTATTTTTCCATCTTTTTCTCTTTATCTCTTTTCTTTCTTACTTTCTTTTATACTACAGTCGTTTAGCTGGTTGCTGACTTTTTGTGTCGCCGGCTATCGAATTCCTCATTTTTTTCTTTGTTAGTTTAAACTGTTTTATTTAAGATTGGGGCCATTGAGAAAAACGGGTTGAATTGATTCTCGCTCTCTCATCTCTCTCTCCCCTTCATTCTTCTCTCTCTCTCTCTCTTCTTCTCTCTCACTCTCTCTCTCTCTCTCTCTCGAATCTCTTCTCTCTCTCTCTCTCTCTCATCTCTCACTTTCTCTCTCTCTCTTTCTCGCTCTTCTCTCTCTCACTCACTCTATCTCTCTTTCATTCATCTCTCACTCTCTCTCTCTTTCTCTCTCTCTC